TTGTTTTACCTGATACGTAGTACCGGAGGTCGCCGCATACCGGTCAGTGAGACCATTTGCAATAAAGTGGACGGAGTATCTATCCACAGTAAAGCAGAACGACTTGATCGATGGGCAGAGTATTTTGATGAACAATGCAAATGGCCCAGTGCTAATGCAGTCATTCCAGGGATTTCAGCGGAAACCCCATGAATGGTAACATGTGAGTCTCCATCAGAATTGGAAGTATGAAGCTGTATTCCATCATTAAAGAATGACACATATGGTTCATAAATTGATCCATAGCTTTCTTTCAAGTGTGCACAGAGAGCTGATTAGCAAATCGTTGAGTATAGTGGGAATTTATCTTCAAAATAGTATCACAATAAACACTTTTGCGCGCGTGAGTATTTCTATTAATTCCGTTGAAATCGAAAATATGGCCCAATAGCGTGGATCCGGAATGAAGCTCATGATGATGATGAGGATACGACTTCAAGGATTTTTTTCTTCACGATAGTTCAGGTTTTACCATTCTTGTGACACGTTATCCTGCCATATTCATTATCGATCCTCACTATCTATGTAGAATTCCCTCGCGGGTAATTTTCCGTTAGGTTGTTTGCGTTCCCAACTTGTGATTGATCCTATTTGCCTTCCCCATCAAACCCTGTCCTGCCTATTTTAGATTTGTCGGACGTTTCATCGCCTTGGCGCTGTATCATAACAAGTTAATCGACAGCGGTTTCACTCTGCCTTTCTACAAACGCATGTTGGGTAAGCGAATCACTTTGGAAGATCTGGAAGTCATGGATGAAGTGTTCTACAATTCGGTCAAGTCCCTCCAGTATGTTGCATCCTCTCCGTTCTGGGGAAATCCGTCCTCAAATTTTGTCATCATTTTTATTGTGTAGACATGTCACGTTTTGCAATCATTCATTTTCTGTTGTTTTGTAATAAAAATGCAGTGACGAACAAGGTCGTTTCCGCCGATTCATCTGCAAGTTGATATATCATAATTTATGTCAAATTGTTTTGTAGGGCTAACATCACACAAGACACAGTAATCTCACCACCCGCTTCTAATGACCCAAATCAATGCGTAGATGTGATGAACAAGGTATGAGCTGCGTGCAGTCATGGAAATGAAATGTTGATTATTTTTCCCCGTTTGGTCATATATTCCCGGATCTCCCTCTAATTTCACTTAAGTAGTTATAGAGATGAATCACGGCGAACGACATTGCTCTTCACTATACGTTTTTCTTTCAGAAGATAATGTATCATTTCCGCCTCCTCCGGTCTCGTTTTCGTCTCATCTCGTCGATAGTTCGCAACAAACGTGACTTGAACGTCTTCATAGGATATTTCATAAGGAGTGGTGTATGAGGAAACTTCCCTGGATGGCTTTTCACAGTAGCAGATTCAGTCATGCCTAAAAGGTCAATAGGTAGAGGCCAGACGAGGATCAGTCTCAGTAGTCCAGTTGCTGGGGCACCTCCTGGTTTTCTTTCACTATTCACTCCCGCCCCTCAGAGAGGTCATTCCGGCAAATAAACACGGTTAGGGGCAGCTTACCGGTCAAAAGAACCCCGTTAGATGGACGTAGGAGCAGAGTACCTGGGGCTTCCTCTCGACGGTGAGAGAAGTATTCGTATTTCAGTGGACGGCTATCATCCGCCCAAGCTGGGAAGCACCCAGCCAATAAGGTGCTGTCCCGTCCACGTTCCGCTTGTCTCATTGGGTGTATGAGACTAAAGGCCGATCCTGAAAAGCGGACCGATAATCAACGCACTAGTGAGCAAAACACTGAACCGATGCCCGTAGGCCTTGCGTGACAGGTCTCTAGGAGCTCCCAAACGGGTGCTTCGTTCACGCTCCCGCGTTGGATTTACGCCCCACTGCCTTGCGGGTCAGACTTTTGAGTCGAAGCTTCGGTTAGGGTTCCGAAAGAAAAACCCCTTCGTCGGTGTGGGCTGCCGCGAAGTATGCCTTGTACTTAAGTCTTAAATACCCATTTGGAAAAACCTTTTTCATCTGTCTAGTCCTTTTTCTCAATCCCAAATAATCCCAGATGCCTTCTGTTAACAAGATCCATCGGATATCACTCAGCGTTTTACGAACAGGGCCAGACAATCAGAAGTTATAGGATTTTCAAAGCCGAGACTTCTTTTTCACTCAGCCGCGTTCAATGTCCGCTCACTTCATCAGATTGATCAACAAGCTGCCTTAGCTAGAACTCTTGAAACTTCCAGTTTAGATGTATGGTGTGTCTCCGAAAAACGCATACAGTTCTCTACTTCGATTTTCTCCCTTCGTTCTGATGATCCAGCCTCAACCTCACGCTTCAATCTCCTTGTGCCAAGCGATTCGGCATCCGAAGCTCTAAAGCGCTAATTGCCAAGACTGAACGCCCGTTTCTTTACTGGATTCGTCGATAGCCACGCTTGCGCTGTACACCTGACTGGTTCAGTACGGGTGAACAGCTACAGAACGAAACGTCAAAGTCTATTAGTCGTATTGGTGTATGCACCGGCGGATTGCAGTGCACCTGAAATGAAGGCTGAATTCTACCAGGATCTTTCTCAATTATTTCAACGTGTTTCATCAGCGGACATCGTAGTAGTCGCATGGGAATTTAATTCTCAAGTGGGTTTGCTGGACAAATCAGAAAGGTTTCTTGGCGGACCACATGCAATCTCAGCCAACCGGACGGACAACGGAGATCGCCTATTTCAACTCTGTGCTGACCATGGATTTTTCCCGCCAAGCACCAAATTCTCCCACAAGAAAGAACACAGTTTCAGTTCGGCGAACCGGCGAAATGGAATTCAGTTCACCCGAGCTACGAGAACCGATTTTCGATATTTTGTCAACAGTTTCAGTTCAGTTTAAACAACCATTAGACATGCAATTCGGTGCGACGCTTTTGGTTGCTGTCTTTCAGCTACCCATTTGGGTGAACGATAGGAGGAAAACAAGATGGTTGAAAGTAGGACCGAAGAGAAAATTGAGAAGTTCAGTAGACTAATGATGCAGAGAAATTGAGATGCACGACCGCCACTGTTTACGACACCCAGACATATCGTCCAGTGTCTCTAACCATCGGTTATGACCATCCCGATGTTCCCAAACAAAGAGCCTTACGGGATCTATGTGACCCAAACTCCTGGTTAAGGTTTTCATACCCTCATTACAGGTCTTAGTTTGACCACCGTTGACCCTTTTTCCATCTGCTACTTTCCTCGGTAGACATCACTTGACGTGGAAATCTATATGGTAACATGAAAGACATGATCCATGCCGCATAATCCACTCGGTCCAATGGACGACCACGATCACCTAGTGGCATATGGTGATGGACACAGACCATGGTCTGATACAAGCCAAATTCTCTCAGCGCTTGATAAACAAACACAATAAAGTTGCAGGAAACAGATATCAACAATAGTGTAAGCGACAACTGCTGTTCGGATTTCTAAGCGGGGCTCTGTCATCACCTCTCCATCGGATCACCATTCGAAATAGTCATTCAAAATTGGAAACTAACCAAAGATGCTATTCGAATGTTTGTGAAAACATGAACAGATTCTAGCGCACGAGCACAACAGTAGCTTTGTGGAACCTTCACGAATCAAATTTTCAGGTTCTCATTTGACACTAAACCCAAATTTTCTAACGCCAGCTCGTCAAGAGGCTGGGGAATGATCACGAGAAATAGAGAGTGGCGAAATGGATCGAAATAAAGAATACCATGGGCATTCGTAACGTTCGCGCTGCTTCTCTTTGAATAAAATGGCTGTATATCCTATAGAATGGTGAACTCCGTCTGTTCCTCCATAAATTTAGTTCATCTGCCTTCGGGATACTCCCGCTCCCCTAATGCCCTCTGCCTTCTACTTTTTCCGTCCACCCATTCGTTGCTCGACCAAATGGGCAGCCGAAAATAGCAGCCAAATCAGCCACACGAAAGTCCAAGGATAATCGTTGTATAAAATGTTATAACAATTGATCTTTTTATCGAGTACTATTTGTTCCTGTAACAGGGAAAAAATCTCTTCTTCACTGAAATGCTGTTGATTTTCTGCGCCAACATCTCAACAAACACTAAGAAGTATTTCTTGCTGAGGAGTCCTAACGCGGAATGTGATTTCATACAATCTTAACAGGAATCGAATTTGGGAAACCAGCTAGGAATTAACGAACTACCACGTAGTCAGGTTTACGCAATCTGATTCGTACGTGTATATATATATATATATATATATATATATATATTGCAAACAAGGCTATGGTGACGAAAACACACTTCTTGGGTACAAGTATATGAATAAACTGAGAAAAGATACGCATACCTGACGAGCGGCAAGAACTGCGAAACCGGTTGTGTGCTTCCGAGGGAATTTTGTCTGCTCAATCACATGCTGCTTATTATGAAGTATATATATATCGATAAATAAGCGCGATGTCGCTAGAATCCAGTTAGATAGCAATATGATTCAAGTCGAGAGCTGCAGTCCAAACCTTCATTCGGATCAACATGGTGATTGAGGGGTCCCAGCAGAACGATATCAGGTTTCATCAGCGTACATCAAAAACTTATTTTTTTTCAATGGTTCGGAAAACGCTATCGTGCGTATTTAAGTGTGATTCACAAAACCAACTGGTTCTGTGGTCTCAGTCGGTCTTTCTCTCCCACTTATGTTCTCGCTATAATATCTGTGAATCCAGCTACGCTGGAACATTACAATGTTAGGTTAAGTGATAATGTTGGTCTAAGAATGGATTCACCGAGGCTGTGTTCATCTCTGATCTATATTGCAGTTACTGCTGTAACAAAAGATGTACCATGTCAGCACAAAAAGAACAGTTGTTTTATTTTCAGAACGTATTCCTTTTTATGGACTCAACTTCCGTTTTTGATGTTGCATTGGCACCAAGCATGTTCCTAAGTTGGTTACATATACCACCATCTCTATTGTTGAATTTCGTTTCTTGTATTTTCCTTTGTTCTCACAATTGGTTGATCTGCTGCCACTCCCCTTCCATTCCTCCCTCACCCATTACGCTTATGTAGGGAAACTGATTTTGATGAGGTGGACATGGAGCTGTACTTCGCTGCAGACTATGACATTTTAGGCGAAGTCAAATCGGTCGACTTGAAACCCGGTGGTTCAGAGATCAAGGTCACTGAGGCGAACAAGGCGGAGTATTTGGAGTAAGCCTGCTTTGTCCACGTCCATGAATTTTGCCACGTCTTCAATTACAGACTCCTCAAATCTAGTGGATAGGTGGTTGTGATTCCCTCGTATGTGAAATGCATGTAAATACTAACTACATCGATCTTCCATAAGTATACCTTCGACGGTACTTTTCAATTTTATCATGGTTTGCAGTCATCCGGGTCCCCATAGCGTACGCTTCAGAAGTTCAACTTGAATGTTTTCACTCGTTTCGTAAGACAATAACTGTTTTCATGATTCCACTTTTCCGTCTTTAGTTGGCTGCTTTTTCATCAGCTTTATCTGATCTGTCATTTTTTTCAACGATCTAAACGTGCGAAGGGTGTAACTGTGCTGCTGTGTTTCGATCAGCCATCATCCAGAGACCTACTCATTAAGTCGATACTGTCAATAACTATGTAATTCTCGTGTCGCTTACTGCGGCAGGTAGAAAACAGAGGTGGTACAACACAAATTTGATGCAGCAATAAAACTATCTTTGCCTTCTAGATGCGGTAAATTTCGTGGGTTATAGAATCGCAGAATGTTTTCTAATTTAGTGATTAATGTGATCCGTTTAGTTGTGTGTGATGTAACTCGAATCTTAGATCCACCGGAGCATCTAACTTCAGCGGGTATTGAACTGAGGAGGCACCCTGTCGCAGGATCAGACATTGGACAATTGTCCTTTGTTCGTCCCTGAGGTGGTTACTAGAATAAATCACCGCTGAGTACAGCAATCCACTAGTCATAAAACCCATCTGGTTAGCTTTTGGGTGTGAATCAAATGAGCACCGGTTGGGAATAACGTGCAAAAGTTCTTTACCTTAAAATTGTTGGTCCATTGTAAGCTTAGGCTCAGAGTGAGTGCAGTTATACATAGACGGACACACTGTTACATCCAGTATCTCAATCTTCACTCAAGGTTTGCTTTCCTACATAGTCTTTGCGACCGACAGGCCTTTGCTAAAGTTTTTACCTGTTTTGTTTCCAACCATCAGGGGTTCACTTATTTTCGTTAACCTCTCCGGTTTCCCGGCTGATTCGAGCTATATTTGTCATGTTTACCGGTCATGATCCCTCAGTGCATATGTATCAAATGAACGAAGGATCGCAATCTAAATGATCACTGATCTTAAAAGTGTTGCACTTAATTTAACTGCATTCGATGATTTGGATGAAGCATCCACGTTAATGTCTGCCTTTGTTATTTATTTCGGAACACGTTAAGGACAAAAATTTGGCATCATTTTGTTACACCTTTTCTCGCTGCCTTTCCGGCCCAGTTAAGCTTCAACTCCTTTCAATGAATCACCAAGCGATTGCAAAATGGTGGCGTACGTGTTTAGCTAGCAGGTCTTATTTTATCATTGTTGCATCCACGCCCTTTGTTGTAAACGAGTTTCACTCTCCGGTTTGCGCAATGATTGCTGCATGCTCCGGTTTCCATTTCTGTCCCGTCATGGCTATCTATTTTTATTTGTTGTTGTTGTTGTTTCGGTTCACTCAAGATAAGAAATGCTGTGCTCTTTGATATATTCCGTGAAGTGTAATGAAATAATTATTTCTACGGATGCACCTGATTGATCTGATGCATTTGGGCGTGTTCTGTTGGAACAATAAACTAAAGGAATAGTGTTCGTCACAGTTGGTTTTCCTTCGAAGTGACCAAAATAAATGTGATCATTTCTTCGTGTGTAAATCATGTTCCGTCGAATCAGTTAGTCCCCATTGCGTTTGACGTAATTTGTTGGAGCCTCCCTGAACTGTTTCATCTTATTTGTGTCGTGAATTACCAAGTAAACCGTCTACTCGTGTGTGAGTCAGCATTATGTGTAAGCGTAACCAGATCGAATAAAAGGAAGCATTCCAAACACGCAAGGACGAAAACTCCGGACAGAATGCGCACTCATCACACGATTGTTTCACAAATAATACTAGTGATTGATGGCAATGCTCTCTCGCTCCCTTTCTCCACTGACAATGCTACCTGATTTCTCACAGTCAGCGGTCCCGGATAACCTACGTGACCAGTCATCATTGAACAGTGAGATACAGAGAAATGAATTTCGCTGATCGCTGCCAACCTCTCATTGTGTTCAAAGTGAGAAAGTACAAGATGTACAGATATTGGGCTTGACTGGATAGCGGAAAAGAAAGAGGATATCTATGGTGAACACATAGAATACACACCTTTTCAACCATTCTGATCAGATAGGAAATTACAATAAGAACGCCACTACTGGCAATTAGTTGCCACATTTTTCAGTGTCTCCAACAAACCAGTTACAGTCTTTTGGACCTCAACCTGGAAGACGTGGGACATCTATTCTACCTAATCGCTCTGTGCATTTTTTGATTCCTCGTTCTCATATCATCTGTTGAGCTCCACGTGGTTTCCTCCAAGCTTTAGCCACAACTGCGAATAAGGTACGGTGCGGTAGACGACAGCCGGGCATGACAATACGTGCCCTCACCAGCGAAGCCGACTAATCTGACTTCCATGTGACAAAGAATTCTCCATCGAATCACTAGCAAATACGTGACGGCATATCTCAAAGTTGCCTACACGCTCGCTCCATCCGACCCGTGCCAAACTACATAAACATCGGCAGTCCAAGACTTCTAGATGACTAATATCTTCCACGCGCAAATTAAGAGTTTCACAACCGTAAGGCGGAACTGACCGCACACTGATGCAGTATACGCAACCCTTCGATTTCAAGTAAACATCACGTCTGCACCCACGGTACTTCAGTCCTGCGTAAGCTGCTCGTGCCTTGGAAATGTGGGCAGTCACTTCTTTTACTATTCTACCGTCATTTTTCACGCAACTACCTAAATGGGAGAAACGTTTCACCATTGCTAACTCTTCACCATCAAGCATCAATGCCGGGGTAGAGGACACCCAGTCTTGCAGCATCACTTTGGCCTTTGAAGGTGCAAAGCGTCTTCCAAATGTAGTTACAGAACTTGAAAGTCTATCAATAGCGCTTTACGCATCCTCCATACAGTCAAACAGACAAGGATTTCATCAGTCTACCTTAAATCGTGCAGCTTTTCTCCAGCTGCCCATTCAATACCTACATTTTGAAGACCACTTAGTGTATTCTCTAGTATTTCGTCTACGATGAAGTTCAATAAGTATGACGAACACCACTCGCGGTTTCGAGCCGTTTGCTTAGCCCACCGTAGATCTTGACGCTACCCGAAGTATGGAGGTACAGTAATCACCCTACTTTCTTTTATATTTTTCTCTGAACTGCTTTTTTCTCTCGAAATTTGCTTTCATTTGTGTATTGTATTTTAAGCGTCACCAAAAGTAAGAGTT